CCCGTTTTGACATGCAACAGAGTCCCTTAGTCTCCCAAGGGTTAGAGGGTCACTTTGGCTTTAGTATACAGGACGCGGTCTCTGGCCAGACCCACTTCCTTCCTATTGTCGAATCCTATCGGCATCTTGGAGGCATCCTAACCATGGATTGCAGCCCGGCCACCGACATCGCGTTCCGTGCGTCACAGGCTTGGTCAACACTACGGCCTCTACGCAGAAGACTGTTCGGGTCTCAAGGCATTCCGCTAACCGTCCGGCAGCATGTCCTTCGTTCTTTGGTCATTTCCAGATTCGTGTTCTCCTGTGCTACGCTCAACTTGCACGCAACTGTGCATAGGCGCTCGTGGTGTCGGCAATATGTTGGCCTTTGGCGTACATTGTGCAAACGAGCCCAGGGTGAGAAGCCCATGCACAGTTACGGAGTGCTGCTTCATGCCGGAGCCACGTCCCCACTCCTTGCTCTCGCCCAAGCCAGGGTCACTTTCTTGGCAAGGCTCCTCGCTCATGGTCCGGGAGAGTTAATGCATTTGCTTAATGCACACTGGCAAACGGGAGCTAAGCCCGCTTGGCTCCGACAAATTCTTGTCGACCTTTCGGCGGTGGCGCCCTATTCGCACTCGGCCCGCATGGTCCTCGCAGAACGGTGCCCTCTCCGCACCTTCTTTGAGGCCCTGGAACAAGAACCGACATGGTGGAAGGGCCAGGTTCGGCTCGCCGTGAAAGGCTTCGCAGCAGACCTCCATGAGTGGCGTAGCAGCGTCCCAGAAACCGATGAGGTGGAGGGTGATGACGCTCGTGCGGAGATTTCGCGTCCTTTCGTGTGCAGATGGTGTGACAGTACCTTTGAGCTCCATAAGCACGTTGCTCTGCATGAAGCTCGCAGGCATGGGGCCCTGGCGCCCGCCCGACACTATGCCAGAGAGCCCTGGTGCTTGGCCTGCATGGGCTTTTATCACACCATTGCAAGAGTACAGAATCACCTCAGGGGACACCACAAATGCCTCCGACGATGTGCAGAGATCGTTCCTCCTCTCTCCATTGCCGAGCTTCGGGAAGCTGAGGCTGCAGGTAAATTGCGTACGAAGAAGATCAGGCATGGACAGTGGCAAGCCTTCCAACACGCAATGCCTGCTACAGTTGCTTTCGGCCCACGCATTCCTACGTACGCGGAGGCTGTCGGGGGGTTGAGCGACCACGAACTTACCCTAGGACGAATTGCTAGCCTTTATAAGCCTGATCAGGCCGTGCTCTCGTGGGTCGAAGGAACATGCCAAAGGCATTCTCCTGAGGGGCCGCGATCGGAGCCCGCAGAATTTTGGCTACAACGTCCGGGGAACCACAAGCACACGGTTTCACCTCGAATTTAGGCAAGAGTTTTGGGACGCGCCCGAATAGGGCCCTACAGTCCGCATCAGAATCAGAATCAGAATCAGATACAATTCGTGGGGTTCCTTACTAGAATAGTTTAGGGTTTAGATCTTGGGATGAGGGTTTTGCGTGTTGGACTAGGGTTTCGTGTTTTTTGATGGGTCTCCCGATTAGTAGTAGGCAAAAGGCTCCCCTCCCTTTTGTTGAGGAGACGATGTCTGGGGAACTGAGGTTTTATCGAGGGCCTATACGGCCCCGGCGAGCACAACGGAGCACACCTCGAAGTGGACCAAGGAAGAGATCCTAGCTCACGAGCATCCCGAGAAGAAGCAGAGGCACGGTAAACCCTATGTAAACCCTAAAAAAAACCCTAAAAACCCTAAACCCTAAAGAGGCGCTGTACAGACGTATCCTGGCTGCTGGTCTTTCTACTTCTCCTTTCTTTGCTCTTGGTCTTTGGGTTTAAAAGCCCGAGCTTCACGGCGCTTCTCAAGCTCGCCGACTACGAGGGCAATATCTGTGGAACTGCGGGCAAGGCCCGGGGAGCTAGGATTAGGGGGACCCTTGGGGATATAGACCCTCTCAATAAGGTTCCTTTTAAGAGAGCCAAAAGTAGGGTTCAGAAGGGGTACCCTTTAAGGGGTACCCCCAATAATCCTACCTAGGCCCATCAACGATTTGCGTACATTTGCGCTGTAAATGCTGGCGAGCTGCAGACCGCCTTCACCGTTTGCAGGGAGTCGTGTCCTTCGAGCAACCACTCCAAGTATCGCTGCTCCAACAACCTCACAGGCATAGATGCGGAGGCAGTGGACTACCCCACCGATACCAGCATCTTTCACATCAGCAACCTCTGTGTACCCCGGTCCGTTGAGTTGGCGAACCGCCTCTTCGTCCACCACGCGCGGGCGGCAGAAGAGGCCCGGCTATACGTGGCTCTGAGGCGCCTTTGGGTACCTCTTTCGATGGCAGCTCTGGTAGGCATCGGCATTTCCTACAGACTTCTCTTCGTCCTTAAGAAGCATACTGAGAGTCTCTTGATGACCGGTGTGGCTGTCATCATCCTGATCCCATGGACTTGGGCCTTATTCCTTTATGCGACTTCGCTCTCACTCCCTAAAACCTCAAGGACTAAAGCATTAAGGCTTTAGGGCCCAACGACCGCGCTGTGCAAAAATGTTGGGTTATGTTGCGAGTTAGGGCAGTTCAACAAAAGGAGCGAGGTCACGTACGCATCATGAGATGCTGTTGCGCTTCCGTGCTTTCCCAAGTCTAGGCCTTTCTTATGTTCTCGAAAGCTTCGGTAGGATTTAAGAGTTTCAACCCTAAGCCGGCGTAAGGTGATGAACGGCAAAGACGCTGAAGGCTTTTGCTGGGCACTGGTTCTCATCGGCGTCTTCCTGGGATGCATTTCTAGCGCCCATGTGCCCCTGGGGGGTTCTGGAGAAATAGACATGTAGGCAAAGCAAATCTGGGGAAGTCCTTGACATTTGCGGTGTGTGATTCATGCGGATTGTTGGGATAAGATATGTAAAATGTCCACATACACATGCAAGTGCAACTACCATTTGTAGGCTCTTACCTGTGTAACCTCTCTTGTGTGTCATGCGCACGTAGATACGCGTATATGATATGCATGTATGTGCAGGTGTGAGTGTGTGTGTGTATATATGAATATACATAAACATATACACACATTATGCGTGTGTGCATGCATGTATGCGCATGCCAGACCTACGTCCGTGCATATTCATCTACCTCTCTTCCAGTGTTTTCCTTCGTGCACAGATGCATGTTCATATACGTACATATTGAGATAAAGGTGTCGAAATGTGTGTGTGTGTGTGCGTATATATATATATATATGTATATACACATTATATATATATATATATACACATACACATGTTTATACTGTGCTGTACATGTTGTACAGAAATAACTTCCTGCGCAGTTTTGACGGTTTTGGATAAGGCTTCTGCGCATGTGTGATCGTGTTTGCAGTCGGTGTGGCTGTGGTGGCCAGTCACTGTCACGAAGAACACTGCTTCTGTTTTGTTTTTGTTGCTGCTGCTGCTGCTGCTGCCGCCACTGCTGCTATGGTTGCTAGTTGGTCATGCTGCCGCTGCTGGCGATGTTGATGATACTACCACTTCTGCTGCTGCTACGGAGCTACAGCTACAAATTTGACAAGTCAGTTAACAGCTTTCTTTTTGTAAAATAATGGCTTCCAGATGATCGTTCACTTCGGGGGTTGTTGATTCGACAGCCTCGGTGCTCTCCGTCGAGCTGGATGCATGAAGGGCGGGGCCCGAGGACTTCGGACATGTAAGTTTTTGTTCTATGGGTTTAGGGTTTAGGGTTTGGGTTTAGGGTTTGGGGTTTGGGGTTTAGGGTCTACGGCTCAGGATTGAGGTTCCACATGTGAGAATTGCCAGGCGACCACGCTCAAGCTAGCAGCTGGATGCATTGAGAGTTCTTGCGAGTGCGTGTTGGACATGCCTTTGCTGCAGCTTGGTCCTCTGGTGGTGCTGCTAACGAGAGCCTGCGCGATAAGCTTCATGCTGTTTTGCCTCTTGGTGTCCCCGGCGGGCATATTCTACAACCACCAAGCGCGTGTGCTGAGCTTTGACTGTGGCCAGGAGCATTGCACCGGAAGCTTGATATTTTTCATCTGCTGGACAGGCATGCTGCTCTGGGTGGAAGCTGTTATCACAGCAGCATGGGAGTTTGCAGTTTCTTACCTGGCATGTACATGGTACTTCGACGATCCGAAGCTCGAGCGGAAGAGTGGCACCACACTCTGGAAGCTTTCCTACACACTCTTGCGATATCACCCGGGCAGCATGGTCAAGGCCGCTGTCGTAATCGGATTCCTGCGACCATTTCGCTTCATTTTCGGCACGATCACACAGGTGGCCCGGATGGAGTACAACCCATTGCGTGGGCTCATCTTCTTCTTTCTCGGCTGCTTCGTGCATCTCTATGAACAGCACTTCGACAGGCGCAACGCATCCCGTCCGTGCTTCGTCGCCTCGTTTCTGGATGGAGCCACATCCTCACATATGCCAATATATACATGCCTACAATAACAATTAAATATACACATACATATAAATATATTTAGACCTGTGCACGAATTCACACTTCATCTCCAAGCACCGCGACGAGTAAAGAAGTGTGTGTGCGTACTCAAACCTGCAGTTATGTCTACTACTACTACTACTACTACTACTACTACTACTACTGCTAGTACTACTACTGCTGCTAGTACTACTACTACTACTACTACTACTACTACTACTACTACTACTACTGCTAGTACTACTACTACT